CTCAAAGTATAGGGGGGTCGAAGAAGACTCCATCTTGAGATGGTTTGTCGAATTGGAACCCATAAGGGCGCGTCGCATCGACGATGGGGATATGCAAGTTGCATTTGCCCAGTCAAATCTGGCAGGACGTGCCAAGACTTGGGCACTGGGGCTCAAGTTGCACGACCCATATGCGTTTGGGTCGTTGGAAGTCTTCAAGTCGCGGCTCAGACAAACGTTTGAACCGCCTAGAGCTGAGTTCAGGGCTCGAACCGAACTCTTGAAGCTCAAACAGGGTAAGCGTGATGTGCACGCTTACGCCCAACATATACGACATCTTACGAGTTGTATAAGTTCCAATCCGGTGGATGAACACACGTTGGTTTCGGTGTTCATGCAGGGTCTTGCGGATGGTCCCGTCAAGACTCACCTGTTCCGGCTTGAACTAGATTCACTAGAACAAGCCATTTCCATTGCGGAGCAGGAAGACTTCAGTCTGAGACAGGCTCGCGCCAGCTCGACATCATATCGTCAACCGAGACGATATGACAACGGAGGTCCAGAGCCGATGAAACTCTGTTATGTAGAGAGCGAGAAGGCTCGCTCTACAGGCTACAAGAAGTTGCAGAGATGCAACAGATGTCAGAAGACAGGACACTACGCTTACGAGTGTAGTGCCCCTCGTCCAGTGTCTCGCGACACTGGGCGTAGTGACCGTCCACCCATGAGAAAGGGGCAGGGACGAGGGTCCGCAGTTGGTGCAAAGACGCAACAACGGGATGGACCGTCAAAAAACGGACAGGATCAGTAGGTGCGGAGCACCCTACTGATCCAGCAACGTCAAGAGAATTTGTAGGCCTCTTGATGAAGGTTGCTCCCAACACACAGACAAACGTTGTGCGTTGCTGCTCTAGGTAATGAGATCTCACTCATTACCTTGAAACTCGAAGTGACGAATAAGTTGTCCCTTCGAGCTCTAGTCGATTGTGGGGCGTCCAACAATTTTGTGCGACGCCAATCGCTAGAAGATGGTCACTTTAAATTCAGTGAATGTGACACACCTCCTACGAGGATGACGGTACGTCTTGCGACAGGCGCATCCGTAACCGTCATGAAGCGTATAGTGAAGATTCACTATACGCTAGAAGATACCCAATACGACGATGACTTTATCGTATTGGATTTGGATGACAAATTTGATGTCATCCTTGGAATACCGTGGCTCAGAAGGTACGAACCACGAGTAAACTGGCAACATCGGACAGTAACGATGCCTGCCGCTTGTTCATCAGATGGCCATCTGATGAACGTTTTGGAGACGTCCACAAGCGTGTGGATGTACTACGAGTGAGTGCGATGGCCTCACTTGTGGTACGGTCGTTAGTACGACTGCACAAAACCTTAGTGTACCAAACGGTTACACTTCGGAGCAAAGTTCCGGCGGCTGTGAGGAAACACAGGCTGCGCCGAAGGTCCACCACTCGAATAAGTCGGGTGGACTGGGACAAAGATGTATCCCTAGAGGGGAACATCTAGAAGAGAAACAATCGATCGCTCAGGTTAAGCGAAACGATAATCCTAGATCGACTGGAGAGTCTTTCGTAGAGGATCTCGCTGTGGTTGCGCAACCCCCAGCTAGAGGAAGTAAAGGGAATAAGTCCCAAGATTACAAATACGGCGGAAATAAGTTCCCCGAAACCCGCGGGAATAAGTCCCCGGGAAGACGAAGGAATAAGTCCTTCGAAGCCTGAGGGAATAAGTCCCCAGGAAATGACAGAGACATTGAATGTCATAGTCAATAACGGATCAAGTGTAGGCGCTTATACACTTGATCTGATTGCGCCTTCGAAGTTAACTTCGGAGATCACCTCAGTTGCCAACGCTCGAACTATTAAAGGTTCTTGCGTGATCTGCGTAGTGGCAAAGTCAAGCAGATCTGCGTACTCGTCGCTGACGACGAGTGTGTAACCGACATAAGGTCAGCAACAGTGTTCACTGAGAACGAGAGAGTTCTCAGTAGTTCATCTATGGACGAGAGTGTCCTAGATGAAAAGACACGAATTGAGCGATATGACTCCCAATCATGGGAATCGCTCAAGGAAAATCCTCTCTATGAAGATTTGGTTGAATTCAAGGATGTATTCCCTGAAACTGTTCCGTGCGAATTACCGAAGGATAAAGGTATTCGACACGAGGTCGAGCTTAAACCAGGCTCGAAGTACTGTGTCATGAAGCAGTGGCCACTGCCTCGTGAACAAGTACTTGCGATCGACAAGTTCTTTGCCGATCGTTTAGCTGCGGGCCATGTGAGGGGAATCAACTTCCCCACATAGCTCTCCGACCTTCTGTGTGCGAAAAGCAACAGGAGGGTGGCGGATAGTGCACGCGTTCAACAAATTGAACGCTGCAACGGTACCGGCTCAGACGCCGATACCGAGGAAGGACGTAATCATTGATGGTATGTCAAGAGTACCATCTTTTCGTCCATGGATTTGATGGATGGCTTCTATCAAATCCTAATGCGGGAACGGGATATACCCTATACCGCAGTTAGCACGCCTAGCGGCATGCTCTGGGAATGGCTAGTAATGCCACAAGGGCTTAGTAAGGCCCCTGCCACGTTCAACAGATGTGTATCACATCTGTTGAGACCAATACGAGAATTCGCGCCGAGTTATTTCGATGACGTATTCATCCATAGTCGAGCTATGGATGGAAAGTCGGACGTTGAGGTTCACAGGTACCACGTCCGACAAGTTCTTACAATCATGCGAAAGCATCAATTGTATGCTAACCTCAAGAAGTGTATATTTGCAGCAAGCGAAATACCACTTCTTGGGTGCATCGTTGGTAAGAACGGTGTACGTCCTGATCCCGAAAAGATCAAGGCGATCACCGACTGGCCTGTGCCGGTCGATGTCAAAGGTCTTCGAAAATTCCTTGAGGCTAGCGGCGTATTTGCATAAGTATTCACGCAATTACGCCGAGATGACTGTGCACCTCTCTCGTTTGTTGAAAAAGAACGAGAGGTGGTTATGGAACGCTGAATGTCAACGCTCCTTTGAGGGTATCAAGCAGAGCTTGATACAATCCCCAGTCCTAGCAATAGCCGATCAGGACAGGCCATTTCATGTGGTCTGTGATGCCAGCGATTTCGCAATCGGCTGTGCATTAATGCAGTACGATCTTGAAGGCGTTGAACGCGTCGTCTGCTATCAGTCGCGTCAGCTGCAACCAGCTGAGCGGAACTATCCAGTGCATGACAAGGAACTCCTTGCCATGAAGTATGCACTCGCGAAGTTCAGAGTCTATCTATTAGGAGATAGACCCTTCGTTGTTTACACTGACCATGCGTCATTACGCACGGCAGTGAACAGCCCGCACCTTTCACAACGAATGGCGCGGTGGTTGTCATTCTTTGCAGAATACAACTTTACGGTCGAGTACAAACCAGGACGACTTAATGTCGTCGCTGATGCACTCTCACGTCGTCCCGACTTTGAAACAGTCGCGAAACCCAACAGTGAGACAGTCACTGTTGCGGTTATGACGTCCTCAGTACCATCTACAACGTTGTATGATGATGTGAGGCGGGCATACGCCCAAGATGGTGAGATAGTGAAGTTGTTGACACTCTCTCCCAACCATCTCGAGAATCGTTGAAACGATTGTCGTCTGCGTATCGATCTGCATCAGATCGATACACTACTCGTAACGGTTTACTGTACTATACAGCCGTTTCTGGTGACACACCACGTGTTGTCATTCCAGATGATACTGATCTGCGTTTGCGGATCATGTTCGAGTATTACGATGCTCCTATAGGGAGGACATCGTGGCCGAGAAAAAAACATATCTCACGGTAAGTCGAGACTTTTACTGGCCCCGCCAGTATCAGTTTGTGCGAAAGTATGTTCGCGCATGCGAAGTCTGCCAACGAGTGAAGTCAAGTCCTTCACTGCGTGCACCTTTACAGCCTCTACCGGTTCCGGCTGAGTGCTGGGAATCCATCTCAATGGATTTCGTCTTCAGGTTACCCAAAGACGCACGCGGGAATACAGGTATTCTCGTATTTGTTGACAGATTCAGCAAAAATGGTACACCTTGTGGCTGTACCAGAGACAATCACGGCAAGTGGCTGTGCTTGTGTCTTTATTGACACCATCTTCCGACTTCATGGGTTGCCCCGTGAACTCGTATCAGACAGAGATCCACGATTCACTGCTGATTTCTGGCGTTCCGTGTTCAAATCACTCGGAACGCGCTTGAAGATGTCAACATCTGATCATCCAGAGTCAGATGGTCAGACGGAACGTGCCAATCGTGTCCTTGAAGAGATACTTCGAGGATACGTACACTCCTTTAAGAGTTGGAGTGAGTTTTTGCCGATGGTAGAGTTTGCCATCAACAACTCGGTGCATGCGTCCACGACACATACACCGTTTTACGTGAATGGCTTGCGCCATCCGCGTGTACCCACCTTACTAGAGTGTAACTCTGGTTTAAGGGGGGAGGGACTCGCGCGAGCAAAAACCGATTTGGTTCACGCTCATCACGCTCTGACGAAGAAGTCATTGCGTTTGATGCCGATATCGATAACATCGATATCGAAGAAGATGATGCCAGTGAGAGTGCGGAAGCCCTCACTGAAGACAATGATCCCAGTGAGAGTGCGGAAGCCCTCACTGAAGAAAAGGTTGTTGTCGCTGCAGTGCGCTCACAGCACACTGAAGCTAACGAGTCATCAGATGAGTTCATACTGGCTCGTGAAACGGTAGTCCGTTTTGTGCAAGACTCCATCGCCGAAGCGGTGGATAAGCAAAAAGCAAAACGCTGACAAGAATGGAAGGGCAAACACTCTTTTATTTAATAAAGGTGACTTAGTCCTACTGTCTACGGTTAATCTACCAAAGCATATAGTGACTAACTTGGGTAGCAGTAAACTACTACCCAAGTACATTGGCCCATTTCGTGTATTGCACCGCCTAGGCAATGCATACACGATCGAGTTACCACGTAAGATGCGAACGCATCCCACGTTTTACGTTGGTCGGCTTAAGCCGTACCATCAGTACGCTGCTTCTTCCGATGAAGAACGCCCTTGCGCTCAAGCATCTCGCAGAGAGCCTTGTGCTCCCGATGGTGGGCATCAACAAGGGTCTGAAGAGCAGCTATCTCATCCCGAGACCGATCAGCAATCCCACGAGCTACCCTTAGCTCGTCACGAAGAGATGTCAGAGATCTCTCGTTCTCGAGAGCTGAGCAAAGGCAAACTCAGCTCGATGCTTCGAGGCAGTGTCCGCCATTTGGAGACGCCTATTCCGCTCATGTTCGAGGTCGTCGCGTAACCCTTGCGTTACGCGATCAAAAAAGCTCTCGGGAACACACCGATCCACATGATCGTGTGGAGAGCGTCTTTCCTCCTCCTCCACCTCCATTAGAGGACTCTCGCGGTGGCCAGCGCTATCTAGTTGAGCAGCTGTTGAACCACCGCGACGTGAACGGACGTCGGACGATTTATCTCGTCCGGTGGCGCGGCTTATCCCCCGTCCTGGGATTCTTGGGAGCCCCGCTCCCAATTGATGGTTGACGTACTGGGTCTGGTCGAGCAGTACGACGCGGCACATCCTGTGCCGCAGAAGGACCGCCGGAGAAAGTCTTCCCGGCACGGTCGTAAAGGGATTTCAGGTTGTCAATCCCTTCGTACATCTCAGTAGAGACACGTACGCGCCACCACGGGCTGGTAAGGAGGTAAGCCTCCTTAGGTGCTCGTGCAGAGTTGTTCACACAACATGGGCACGAGTCTCCCCAAGAGAGGCAGGGTAATCCTTTCTCCCTTGACAGACGATGCAGCTTGTAGCGTGCACCTGTCGGGGTTCGCTTTTCAAACTTATCACGAGCTTTGATAAGTTTGTCGTTCCAAGCGTCACGACCTACATCCTCGAGGTTATGGATGTAGGCGTTCCACGCCTGAAGTAGTGAGGGACCATCACGTTTGTGATTCCCACTGTACCATCGATGTCTAAAGAAAGCATCGATGAAGAATTCATGTTCAGCGCGATAGTTTTTCGCGCTGGGGTCAAGTGATGGATCCTTGACGAATCGACCAATCGTGTTCGATAACGATCACTCGTCGTCGCCGACAAGTGATCCATGACTGATTTAGGAGGCATCCATGCCTTCTTCTCAGGAGCGAGACGCAACACATTGCGGTCCCGCTCTTCCTGCGACGTGCCGACAGAAGTACTGGCACCTCGCTGTGAAGTGGTGTCCATAGGAGAACCGACACCACTATTAGCGCCCGAGTCTCGCGACCTCGAGCGCCTTCGCTTCGGCGATAGTTCATCTGACTCATCAGATGAACCAAAGATGCTGCGACGCAAAGCATCGTCCATGCCACGCTTGGCAGGCGGCTTAGATTCAATCGCCATCGATACGGATCCGTCATCCGTATCAGGAGAGTATGAGACACCGAGCTCGTACTCTGTGAAGACACGAGTGTCTTCATGACCAGCGCCTGCATCACCAAGTGACACAGGCTGGGTCGCTTCAGCAACCGATGAGACATCAGTTGCTGTTGTTTCTGCTTCGGCGTACGCACAGAGACGTGCAGACGCGCTCTCGGCGGCCTTGCTCGCGCATCGCATGGGCTTGTTAACCATGCGATGAGATGTTGGAAAGTGGACGCGGACCAACAAGTGCAAACCCTGTCCCAAATGATTTGGGACGAGTATCCATTTAGTCAATCAGTCACTAAAGTGACTGATGGTTAGGGGGGGTGATGTAACGGGGTGAATCGTTACATAACAATTTATAAGAAATTGTTAATAGAATATAACTATAAGAGTTATATTCTCAGAATATTGTCATAAGGACAATATTCTGTAGCACTTCAAGTAGTTCCTAATTGGTTGATATAGGCCATTATATCAACCAACGAAGACGCGCCACGACAGACGCACGCAATGAGTGGTGAGCAGATAATCAATTTACACATTTGTATTTAGACATAGTTAGATGAAGATAAATAGTGATTTATTGCAGACATTAACTATACTAAATACAGTTCTACTTTTTACTTTAACCAAGTACTCGCTTCTTCTTACCGTCTTCCTCTGCACGTACGAGTGTACGTGAAGTTACGAGGCACCGCCTTATTCTGTCATCAGAATAAGTAGCTTGTACTGTCACCAGTACAAGCTTCAGGGTGCCCCGTTACACCTGGTAGCACTTTGTAGTCCGTCCAAGGACCGCGTTCACATCCAACATATTCATGTTGGATGATGAAGATGACCAAAGCTTTCACGCTACGCGTGACGGCTACTCCCATTTGAGCGATGTCGAATGGGATGCGGTTGAACGAATGGGTTCGACCATGGGCATCCATGCTGTTAGCGTCATGCTAGAGGCTCTCAATAGAGATGCCCAACATGCTACTATCGCCAAGTTCATTCAAAATGAACTTGACGCAGAACGCGAGAAAGTAGCCTTGCTTCACCAACAAGGTTCTCAACAAGCAGAGTTGTTGAGAGAACAAGGTGCTCAACAGTTTGAACTGTTGAGACAGCAGCAGGCTGCTGCTGGCGGGTCGATGCACTCGCGTCGGCCCGAGACTTTGAAGATTGACATCTCAAAGTATAGGGGGTCGAAGAAGACTCCCTCTTGAGATGGTTCGTCGAATTGGATGACGCCATAAGGGCGCGTCGCATCGACGACGGGGATATGCAAGTTGCATTTGCCCAGTCAAATCTGGCAGGACGTGCCAAGACTTGGGCACTGGGGCTCAAGCTGCACGACCCATATGCGTTTGGGTCGTTGGAAGTCTTCAAGTCGCGGCTCAGACAAACGTTTGAACCGCCTAGAGCTGAGTTCAGAGCTCGAACCGAACTCTTGAAGCTCAAGCAGGGTAAGCGTGATGTGCACGCTTACGCTCAACATATACGACATCTCACGAGTTGTATAAGTTCCAATCCGGTGGATGAACACACGTTGGTTTCGGTGTTCATGCAGGGTCTTGCGGATGGTCCCGTCAAGACTCACCTGTTCCGGCTTGAACTAGATTCACTAGAACAAGCCATTTCCATTGCGGAGCAGGAAGACTTCAGTCTGAGACAGGCTCGCGCCAGCTCGACATCATATCGTCAACCGAGACGATATGACAACGGAGGTCCAGAGCCGATGGAACTCTGTTATGTAGAGAGCGAGAAGGCTCGCTCTACAGGCTACAAGAAGTTGCAGAGATGCAACAGATGTCAAAAGACAGGACACTACGCTTACGAGTGTAGTGCCCCTCGTCCAGTGTCTCGCGACACTGGGCGTAGTGACCGTCCACCCATGAGAAAGGGGCAGGGACGAGGGTCCGCAGTTGGTGCAAAGACGCAACAACGGGATGGACCGTCAAAAAACGGACAGGATCAGTAGGTGCGGAGCACCCTACTGATCCAGCAACGTCAAGAGAATTTGTAGGCCTCTTGATGAAGGTTGCTCCCAACACACAAACATTGTGCGTTGCTGCTCTAGGTAATGAGATCTCACTCATTACCTTGAAACTCGAAGTGACGAATAAGTTGTCCCTTCGAGCTCTAGTCGATTGTGGGGCGTCCAACAATTTTGTGCGACGCCAATCGCTAGAAGATGGTCACTTTAAATTCAGTGAATGTGACACACCTCCTACGAGGATGACGGTACGTCTTGCGACAGGCGCATCCGTAACCGTCATGAAGCGTATAGTGAAGATTCACTATACGCTAGAAGATACCCAATACGACGATGACTTTATCGTATTGGATTTGGATGACAAATTTGATGTCATCCTTGGAATACCGTGGCTCAGAAGGTACGAACCACGAGTAAACTGGCAACATCGGACAGTAACGATGCCTGCCGCTTGTTCATCAGATGGCCATCTGATGAACGTTTTGGAGCGTCCACAAGCGTGTGGATGTACTACGAGTGAGTGCGATGGCCTCACTTGTGGTACGGTCGTTAGTACGACTGCACAAAACCTTAGTGTACCAAACGGTTACACTTCGGAGCAAAGTTCCGGCGGCTGTGAGGAAACACAGGCTGCGCCGAAGGTCCACCACTCGAATAAGTCGGGTGGACTGGGACAAAGATGTATCCCTAGAGGGGAACATCTAGAAGAGAAACAATCGATCGCTCAGGTTAAGCGAAACGATAATCCTAGATCGACTGGAGAGTCTTTCGTAGAGGATCTCGCTGTGGTTGCGCAACCCCAGCTAGAGGAAGTAAAGGGAATAAGTCCCAAGATTACAAATACGGCGGAAATAAGTTCCCCGAAACCCGCGGGAATAAGTCCCCGGGAAGACGAAGGAATAAGTCCTTCGAAGCCTGAGGGAATAAGTCCCCAGGAAATGACAGAGACATTGAATGTCATAGTCAATAACGGATCATGTGTAGGCGCTTATACACTTGATCTGATTGCGCCTCCGAAGTTAACTTCGGAGATCACTCAGTTGCCAACGCTCGAACATAAAAGATTCTTGCGTGATCTGCGTAGTGGCAAAGTCAAGCAGATCTGCATACTCGTCGCTGACGACGAGTATGTAACCGACATAAGGTCAGCAACAGTGTTTACTGAGAACGAGAGAGTTCTCAGTAGTTCATCTATGGACGAGAGTGCCCTAGATGAAAAGACACGAATTGAGCGATATGAGTCCCAATCATGGGAATCGCTCAAGGAAAATCCTCTCTATGAAGATTTGGTTGAATTCAAGGATGTATTCCCTGAAACTGTTCCGTGCGAATTACCGAAGGATAAAGGTATTCGACACGAAGTCGAGCTTAAACCAGGCTCGAAGTACTGTGTCATGAAGCAGTGGCCACTGCCTCGTGAACAAGTACTTGCGATCGACAAGTTCTTTGCCGATCGTTTAGCAGCAGGCCATGTGAGGGAATCAACTTCCCCACATAGCTCTCCGACCTTCTGTGTGCGAAAAGCAACAGGAGGGTGGCGGATAGTGCACGCGTTTAACAAATTGAACGCTGCAACGGTACCGGCTCAGACGCCGATACCGAGGAAGGACGTAATCATTGATGGTATGTCAAAGAGTACCATCTTTTCGTCCATGGATTTGATGGATGGCTTCTATCAAATCCTAATGCGGGAACAGGATATACCCTATACCGCAGTTAGCACGCCTAGCGGCATGCTCTGGGAATGGCTAGTAATGCCACAAGGGCTCAGTAATGCCCCTGCCACGTTCAACAGGTGTGTATCACATCTGTTGAGGCCAGTACGAGAATTCGCGCCGAGTTATTTCGATGACGTATTCATCCATAGTCGAGCTATGGATGGAAAGTCGGACGTTGAGGTTCACAGGTACCA